AATATCTGTCCATTTCTTGATATCATAGAAAGGTAGCAAATTCTCCTCAGTTATTTTAAGACCATGAGTATTAGTCCAGCTGGGGCTCGAACCCTCGACCTCCCGCACAACACGATCCGGCGCTCTAACCAATTGAGCTAACCAGGTGCGGTCAGATTATGTTGAAAGATTATGTAGTGTCAATCGAGTTTATTGTTATTGACCCCTCCACTCCCAGAAGTGATTAAGATGTAAATTCTCCCCATAACAGCCATTTGTGATCCAACAAGGAGGTAATGACAACACTCAAACTTATTAGGTAGAAGCTGTTGTCTTGATGTAACACCAAATTCTCATAACTAACTCACAAGGAAGTGTGTAACAGCTAGAGGGGAGAATTAACGATCAGATCCTTGGAGGTACAGGGTTAAGTGATCAGCCCCTAACATATTAGATAAAAGGATTCAGAAAAACAACCCAAGCCTACTTAAGATAAGTTTCTTTTAGAACGGTTTTTCCATTAGCTTGGCAAGTTAAAGAGTATGATGGGGAGTGGGGATGGATTAGGATCCCAGGTTGCATATGCCCCTTCTTTTACCCTCCACCCCCTCCCCCCTTCTTGAGGCAAAGAAATATATTTTATGATAATAAACCACGTGAAATGCGTCCAGATACCAGTGAGACGCGAATGTGGGATTCACCTCTTGAAAAGTCCTGGCAATAGGCCATTTTACAGTTGCGTACTTAGTTGCCAAGCCTTTGACTTGGAGTGAGGCTGAAGGTGACCTTGTTGTGATAGAGACCTGTATCTAGTTAGCATGACAACAAAGTGATTTACATTTGAAAGGCAGCGAGGTTTGTATCATAACAAGGTCACCCCTAGCCTCACTCCCGTTCAAAGGCTTGGCAACCAAGCACAAAACTGTAAAAAGGACTATTCTCGCACAATGAGAAGAACTGCCTCAAAGTGATAAAAACTCTGTCTCATCTAGTGACCACCGTTCGTGATTTGATAATGTAAGACGTAAAACAGTGGCACATAGAGCTTTTTCCAAGCTGTCGTTTACCTTTTGGTTCAACAAACAACACTTCTCATGTAACTGTTGTTAAACCATGATGTTTTTTTTGTGTGTGTGTGTGTTTTATTTAGTGCGTCATACGACACAACAGTGAAACTATGGGAACTTGAGCGTGGCTCCTGTGTTCTGTCTCTCTCCAAGCATCAAGAACCAGTGTACTCACTGTCGTTTAGTCCTGATGGCAGATACATTGCATCAGGGTCTTTTGACAGAGCACTGAATGTCTGGTCAACACAGGTGAAGAGCATTTTCACTTACTTTCCCTTTGGTGATAAATAAGTAACTTCTCCTCACAGTCTTGGTACATCTTCAAGCAAATGACTGTTGAGATTTGATTGATTGATCTAATACTAACTTACCGAAATGATAATGAGAGGAATCACAGTTGTAAACGTGGAGACACGCGTAAACGTGGAGACACGCAAGGAGTCACGTAAGACACGCGAGGAAAATTGAGGAGCTTCTTTTTGTGTCCTTTACGCAACACGCGCCGCCTTATTTACTCGCGTCGTGACATCGAAGTTGAATATCAGCCAGTCATAGACAAGCAACGTGTTTATTGATATATTACTCTTACTTTTATTTAGACTGGTACTCTAGTTCATAGTTACCATGGTAATGGGGGCATATTTGAAGTGCAGTGGAGTCCAAGAGGAGACAAAGTAGCAGCATGCTTTTCAGACAATACGGTGAGTTATCATTCGATACATAAGAGTGATTTAAAGGATTGGAGTCCTTTTTGGTCTGAAATTATACGGTGATTAGTAATGGTAAGTGGACTGAGTTGAGTGTTGTAAGATCCAAAATCATACGCGAACGAGAGCGCAGCCCGAGTTCGATTTCATATCACGAATATGATTTCAAACCAAAATTGCATAACACGAAGTTCAATTACCCCTGTTATTACATCCATTTTGAAACCGCAAAACTTAATTGCCTAATTAAATTCACCCATTTTTCTGGGTAAAAAAAAGGAAAAAAATTTAGGGTCAAAAGTTGCAAAATTCGCGTCAGAGTGGCTTCTTTGTCTTTCGTTACCTGAAGTTTGGTTGGTGCATTAAACAAGTCTTCAAGTCTGATTGGTAGTTTTGTTTTAGTGTTACTCTCTTATTGACTGGAAAAAGATGCACTTTAAAGAAAAAAAATACAGTGTGGTTTATGAACAAATCGCACTGCTGAGAGCCAATCAGAGGGCAAGGTTCACTACTGATTTCAAAGTGGATGTGATAAAAGCCAAATTGGATGTCCACGAAGCGGGAGTTCGATAAGATTAACCATGAGTTGGTTTTGATTTATTGCAATAAATTTTATCATTTTCTTCTATTCTCTTAACAGCTGTGCGTTTTAGACGTCCGCAATCTTTGATGTTTTTGACCACAATCCTATGTACAAATGTTCCTGGAGAACTTAAGAAGAAACTTTCTAGCATCCAGTCTACCGCAGAGACGTCCAAAGCAACAAAACTGGCAACTACCAGATAGTTGAAACTCGAAAATCCATCAAATGCGTCAATCTACAGAACCAATGACCCAAAAAATCAATTTTGATTTCGCTCTCGAAAGATTGCTACTGTTTGCGTTATTTTTTTTTTTTTTTTTTTTTTTTGAGAAAATTCGATTTTTTACAACTAGATTTTCAAGGGATGATACATATTTATACTTTTGAGTGCTGGCTCCATCCGGGGACGAATACTTCAAGAGTTTTCGGCTGTTTTGTCGAAAATAGCTAGAGCGTTCGGAAAGCAGTCGGTAACATATCGATATCGTGTGACATTGTAATGACCGACAACTTTTCGTGTATTAATTTTAACAATGGGAATTTCCTCTGCCATTTTCATTGTCACAAGAACGCATATTTATTAATTTTAATGATAAAATTTTTTTATTTGTTGGCACAATACTTTTATCGCTCCAAACGTCCTCGTAACCAATACCAGTCCTCAATCCTCCCACGTTTACCACGCCACAGTACAGAAGATGTTTGGACCACAGTGATAACAAAAGCTCGTGGTGCACAAACATTACCTCGGTTGTCATGTAGTAAACGTTTGTGTTCGTATCTTGTATCATACCATCGGACTTATTTTCTTCCGGTGTAATTATGTTGAAGAAATTCTAACTATAAGCTGTACTTTTTAAATTACAAATGTCAACATTAAATTTTAAAGTGCATAATTAAGTATTATCCAATTATGTCGAGTAAAAGAGATTTGTTTGTAACTCTTTGGTGCCAGTTGCTTTGAATTAGCCGAATGCATTATATCCATCGGACATTGGATAAAGGCCACTTCTTTTTTTGTGTGTTTGTTTTTCCGTTTTGTTTTGTTTTGTCATTTTCCTGCCTCCGCTGAACTTTACACGATGACAATGGAACAGCATGTGTAGATCTTTCGTCCCATGGTTTAATTCGCGATCATGACAGAAGGAAAGCAAAATCGGCGCGCATTATTTAGTGAGCGCGGGAAATCAAAACCGGCGCACATTGGTGAGCACCGGAAAACGGCTTTTTAAGCTTTCTGAATGTGTTGAAACAGAACCTAAACGATCAAACCAAACAATTCATTGCGATAAAAGCATCGTTTGTTTCACGATGTAGTCACCTCCAATGAGGATACTTTAGCGGTCCCCAGGCGTTCGGTTTTCATGTTTTTGTGTCTTTTGACTTGAAATTTCTGGCTTTGACTACTTTTCAAACTCAACTCCATCTCGACTATGTCAAAGTTATTTTTGTTTGGTAAAAGGTAAGGTACTGTTTCACATTTTATGGATAAGTGGCAACCACTCGCACACCTTTTCATGATTGTTTGCATAACTACTTGTTGGTGTTTGTTTTCTTCGTTTCTTCACTGTTATATGTGGCACAACTTTTTATGGAAGAGTACTCCATGCCATATGAATGTTTATTTGTCCCTAGCATCTAGCTTACATTTTACAATGGGTATAGTAAAGAGCCGATATGATTCTGGACTGTTTCGACCGTAAAGTTCTGCTACGATTTCGACCTACAAATTTCTAATATTGGAGGACATACTTTACGAGTCAATATTCCTAAGAAAATGTGTGCTATTAATCTGTACTTTCAAACAAAGTTATACCTGGCTATTACATACTTCATATTATTAAAAACTAGATCATTGGATAATGCAATTCAAGACTTTTTATTGGCTTAGCCATTATGGTATATCAGCCAATATACCATAATCTACAAATATGGGAAGCGTACGTGTCAGCTTAAAATTAAAAGGGAGCTAAAAATTTAATAACATTTAATAAGTTAATTTAACGTTTTTAATAAAGAATTATTCCATTCGCACTTGTTGGATATGAGATCATTATAGCCAACGAGGCGCGTAGCGCCTCGTTGGCTATCTATCATCTCATATCCAACGCGCGCTCGTGAAATAATTGCTAAATATATGATAGAAAGTAACTAACTTGTGTGACTCTTACACCTGATTACAAGTAGTGAGTTCAGCCTTTCACAAATTTATGTAAAAATAATTAACTCCATTTTTAAGAAACATACCGGTGAACGAGCAACCTGGGCGGATACAAACCGTTCACTAAAAAAACCAAGTTAACTGTCGGAACTGAAACTTGACTACGTTACGTAAATGAGTCAAATGTTTCCAATTGTTACAAGCTGACAAAAATGTTTATTAAAACAGGATCGATTTGCCCGTAGTAGTGTTTAAGGCACAGAGTCCAATGGGGACCAAGAAAACCAGTAATACAAATAGTTCATATGAAACGTGTTAAACAGGGTAATAACCCCGATTAATCATGGGAGGTAATCAGTCGGCTATACACAGGCGTGGCCTAGTACTTGAACCCAGGACCTCTAGCTCACTGAGGGGCGCTTCTACGACATGGCAACGCTGAAGCCGAACGCCCTTTCGACCTTAAGTCAGTTATTATTCATTTGACTATGGAGAAAGGTTTGAAAGCCTCTAAAATCAGAATACTGATCAATCTCTCAAAAAGTCAATTTCAGCGTCTAAATGGGTCCAACTCGGCATTTCTAATAAAAACGGGAATGAAACACAGATGAGGAAACAAGCTGAAGACATGCTGTTTTGACATTACCTGACTCGACATCGAGGACTTGAACTTTGGTTTCCGTGCCACCAAACCTTACTTCCAGCCTTAATTCTCGGTCACATCCCTTAGCAGTATTAGGACTGGAAATTAAAATTTCGACGTTTTCACTTACAACTCCGGGATCGGAGATAAAGTCAGCGTCGTCTTCGTCTGTGCTGTAAAACTCGAAAGAGAATTCAGTCGAATCTGGATTAAGGGGACAAAAATTGTACGTTCTTTTCTCGTCTATGTCTATTCGTTCTCCTTTCTTGGCTAGGGTTTTAAAAATGTCACGACAGTACACTTTCTGTCGTATGATTTCTTGTTTCTCGAGCGGATGTTTTTCAGGATCGAAATCATTCCAGATATTCAAACCATATGTCTTACCCATGACCCTGGCTCGAAGTAAACTCGGTTCTTGGGCAAACTCTACGGCACCGCGAATTATGGCGAGTTGGGGATCTGGTGGTATAAGAATGCGTTTGTCAGGAAATTGGCGGGAAATTTCTTTCCTTAAAAACTGAGCTTCAGAAAAACCACCGACGAGAAAAATTGTCTTTACATCTTGAAGACTTTGTTTAGCGAGCAAGCTTTTCATCTGCTCCGCAATCTTGGTCACAATTGGACGATGCAGGCTTCCTAGCATGCCCATGGTTATGTTCAAGTAGTCGCTGCTAACACTCACATTTTTAGGACAAAATCGCTGAACTCTCTTATTGATAGCATCATCTTCTCCGATCTCGTGATAACAAGACTTTATAAAGTTTAAAGGGAGAGCGATACTAATTTCATCGTTGTCTACTTCCTCTTCTGCCCTCTTCTGTTCCTCAAAGCGGTTCATTATGACTTGCCAGTCACTCGGGAATAGCTCTTTAAATCTTCTGATGAAGTCGTCTCCAAATGCTTTTATCATCAGTTGCTCGAATTCTTGGTCGACATGAATACCACCAAAGGTACCGCCAGAGGGACAGTGTTTTTCCAGGATATGTCCATTATCAGCATTAACTTCGTGAACGGTGATATCCAAGGTTCCACCTGTGGAGCAAAATTGAGTTAATTTATTGTGATGTAACGTACTGATCTTTCCTCTCGCTTACTTCCGATGTTTTGTGGAAATTACATGACAAGCGCGTGGATGAGGTTTCTCGTATGTTTTGAATTTTATTTACTCTCTTTTTGAAAATTTCCTCAATTTAAACTTGAACGTTTTATATCGTCTCTGTGACTGTTAAATATACTTAGGCCATAGTCCTTACAGGTTTTTACTAAGTCTTTAAGGAGTTAGAACCCACCTCCATTATCCACCACCATATATGGAACTTTTTCCTTGTCCAAAGTGTCCTTCACCAGCTCTTTCCCCTTTTGTCCCTTGAACATATCAAAAGGCAGCTTTCTACAATAGTACGAAGCGGCTTCAGGTTCAAGGGCAAGAATGAGTTGGTCAGGATCCTCGGGGCTTGCAATCCCAGCCTTAAAAGAAGCAACCGGGTTAGAAACCTTTGAAACAGGTGAATCTCCATTCTTCTCCTTGCTGTACTATGATTTAGATAAATGTATTGTTTTTTAGCTGGGTGGGCATAGTTAATTTGTATATTTGAATTTTTATTTAGTTTTCCCCGTTGAACCATAGAGTATGTTGAAAAAAGAGTGAGGCTGCGATTGTCAATTTTAAATCTCACTTAATACTACAAAAACAAGAATGGAAGGTATCAGTTACCTTATAGGCAGCTTTTCTCATAAATTCCTTGGCGGAAATTCGCCATATTGCTGGAATTGTTATCACCCACTGAATCTGTTCAGGCTTGTACATAACTTCTGCATGTGGGTTGTCCTTTTCTGACCTCAGATGCCGTTCGTTAACAACATCTGTTGCAGTTTTCTTCAGATATTCGAGGCATTTTGCAAACACGTCTAAAGCAGGCCACTTTTTCCCATTCCTGGCTTTTACCTCTGTTCTCTCATTTAGGTCCTAAATAGAGTCAATTGCGACAAAAGATCATGAACAATTTCCACCCGGACTTTGGGCCACTAAAATCCTTCGGCTGAAAGATCAAATTTTCTACCATACTATTAGCTAGATAAGGAACGATAAAGGGATGGTAGCCAAAGCAAAATATTTTTAACTAGTAGCCCATCCTCAAGTCCAAACAAAAGTTCCTTTCTAAGAGATTGAAGGAGCACAAAGAAAATTTTGGACAAAATGGTTAAGAAATTATCGCGGAACATTCGTGCAAAACTGAAGTCGAAATAATGTTGGCCAAAGAGTGTGGAAAGGGCTTTAATCGACTGAACTCATTTATCAGGCGACTGAATTACAAAAAGTACAGTAATAAATTGCTTGCTACGTTTATCGTTAACTTGGGCTCATGACGTAGTGAAGCATGTAAATTTTGTCAGTTTTAATTTTTTTGGCTTTTCACTTCCGATGTTTTTTTTTTGTTCTGTAAGTCCTTTTGAATAGCATTGCTTTACCTTTAAATATTTCAGAGAAATTTCTCAAGTAAGCACTGGATAAGGTAGCTCAAAACTAGTAAAATTTGGAATTGTATCATTCTTGTCCTTGTGAGAGGTCTGCTATTCGAACAGAAAGTCGCAAAATCAATCAGTAATACCCCGAGGAAATTTTGGTCATTTCGAAACGGTGCTCATTCGTAAAATGAAAATTCCCCAAATTATTTATCTTTCAGGGTAGTAACTTAATACTGTTGCATGATTTCACCTGCGAAATAAAGAGGCTTTCACACGTTGATGATACCTTCCGCTTTCTTGTCGAAGCCACTGCTCGCTAAGGACGTTGATCTATGTTTATGTTGACACATCCCGTCTTCTGAATTGAGCATTAACAGTTTTTGCCAATGGAAAAAAAAGCAGCAATGCCAGAATAGAATAAAGAACTATCCTTTGATTCTTCTGAAACGTTAAGGTGGCATAAGCCCGCACAAAATTTTGCTATGATGACGTAAGGAATAATCGCGTAGACAGAACTTGCTACTACTCCTTCGTCAGCGAAGGGCGAACGCTCGAAACGTCAGCTTAGAAACTCTTTACGGAGCGCAACTTACATTATCAACTCAATTAATAACCAAATTGTCTGGTTATGCTACTCCACCGACGCAGCACCACAGTTTCTTTAAAAACTTACCTCCTTCAAGAAAAAATTTATATCGTCTCAGTCGCTTTTAGCGATAACCATTTATAAATATATCTTATTATTAAAAACTAGATCATTGGATAATGCAATTCAAGACATTTTATTGGCTTAGCCATTATGGTATATCAGCCAATATACCATAATCTACAAAAATGGCAAGCGTACGTGTCAAATTAAAATTAAAAGGGAGCTAAAAATTGAATAAAATTTAATTTAATTTAACGTTTTTAATAAAACAATTATTCCACTCGCGCTTGTTGGATATGAGATGATTATAGCCAACTCGGCGCTACGCGCCTCGTTGGCTATCTATCATCTCATATCCAACAAGCGCGAGTGGAATAATTGTTNAATATGGCTGGCACAACTCGTTAAAAATACTCTGATACTACACAACAAAACGTCTAATTAACAATTATTCCACTCGCGCTTGTTGGATATGAGATGATTATAGCCAACTCGGCGCTACGCGCCTCGTTGGCTATCTATCATCTCATATCCAACAAGCGCGAGTGGAATAATTGTTAATTAGACGTTTTGTTGTGTAGTATCAGAGTATTTTTAACGAGTTGTGCCAGCCATATTTTGACGAGTCCGTGGGGCGAGTCAAAATACAAACAACGAGTTAAAATAAAATAAAAGTCTGGATAATAACAACTATTATTTCGTTAGTTAGCCACACAGTTGCGTATTGTCTTGTACCACTGACTCGAAGAAACAGAGCTATAAGGTTGCTACAAGAGCATTTGAAGGGTACCGACGAACTTCAGTCGCTAGTTTGGTACTGTGATTTTATCCTATTAAACCCAATAACTTGGTCCGAATCAGTAAACTATACGACAAGCGGATTGCATTCGTGTCAGACAACTTGATACCGCTAGTTTTTATTACGCCTGAATGGTTGAAAGCACTAATAACAAATGTTGACTCGAAAGCAACTAATACAAAGGGAAAGTTAAGAACGGGTCTAGACTTACCTTTTTTGAATGGAGCAGCAGTTTAAATTTATCGAAATACAAAAGCTTTTTGCAATCCTTCTTTGACATCGCTTGTTTCCCGTACGTCTCAACAGCTGCATGTCCAAACTTATGGAATTCGCCTTTCTCGGTGAGGAGGAGAGCTGTTGGTGTCTTGCCGTAGCCCATTCCTTGTCCTCTTCCCCACTTTTGAAACACGTAGATATGATCTTGGGATGCGTTGAGGAATACGTATCCAAATCCGCTGTAAGTAGTGCCGAAATCGATCGCAATAATGACATCTCTTTCAAATGGAGTTTGAGAGGCCATAGTTTCCTAAATATCCTTCAAATTAATGTAAACGGAAACGATCGTGAAATCAAGAGAACTCGTCTGTATCTCGAAAGAAAATTATTGACATCACGGAACAAACTTTTCATAATATTAATTTATCCACATCAAACTAACAAATTTACCAAATTTGGTACTGAATGATCCAAAAGAAGACTTACAAACAGTCCTCTTCGTCTAGCAGCTGCACAGACGCCACGTCTATTGTTTAAGCATCATATATGGTAAACATTCCTAGAAACGACACACCCAGATTCTAAGAAATAACGACGCTTTTCCGGTGTGTGGCTGAACTTGTTAGTTCGCATTTAGCTGTTTTACATGGGATTGTGTCCCTCGACACTAGGTAAAAGGAGTTTCATTAATCAGGAAGTAAGCCTTGAACAGTCTATCGAGAATCGCGCCGAGCTATCAGGCACACCGATGAGTGAAAGATCCAAAGAAGCTGAGTTCAACTCCTACCTGGAGTTCAACGATGCCGGAGTGAAAATGGCTAGGCAGTGGTATGAGAGGGTGATCGCACTGTCAGCAGAGAATCGTGATCTGAAAAAGCGAACTGAACAATTGATGAAAGACAATCAAAGTTTACGCCAAAGGCAGGTTGAAGAGAATTCTTCTAGATTTGAGATAACGTTCGAGAAAGAATAACTCGATATATAGAAATCACTTAGTGTCGATTCAGACTTTTATTGCGTGTAAGCTGCAGTTGTCTGATACCTGTAGTTTTTACATTTTCTTCTTCATTAGGATGAGTGACGACTCAGAAATGAATCATCGTTGTTACCAGAGCAGTTCTGAGGACGTATCAAGCAAAAACAAGCAAAGTGAAGTTGTAAAAAAGTTCAAAAGAATGGATGGTGCTCAACGCCGACAAGCGATCGAAGCCTTCGGAAAGCAGGATAGAAGGAATGAACTCTGGTACAGAAAGGATGTGACATGCCGCATATTTGTGGTAATAATAATCAGTAAATGAGAGAAAAATCCCTAATTTATGAACTCTCTCAACTATGCCCCATTTCTGCATATTGTTTACATAAGTATGCATTCAAGGGAAAGTATCAGGGTGAGAGTATCAGATAAGATCGTTCAAAACGAAAGCCATTAATGATAATTCATATAAAAAGAACGCTTGGCTGCATCTTAACGAAATATGTATTTTTTGTTCTACTCTCAATCCTGTAAGTAGATCGTGCTACAGCTTCGACACGGAGACCTCCATTTGACAATTCATTTGTCATACAATAATGTTGACCATACTCAATCTGACTGTTATCGTAGATTTTCCTTTTCATAAAGATATCTTCGTGTAATCGTGTAAGTGCATAGTAGTGTTCCAGGGGAGGAGCTAATCAGTTCTCTGTTACGTAAGGAAGAGTTGGTTGGCTTGTTTACATTTTGTTTCAATATCTAACTTGCCGCTGTCAGTCAAAGAGTATATCGCACCGAATTTGTGTTCAAATTAAACAGAAGATTACAACCCTGAATCTAAAATGATATTATTTTCCCAGGTTGCATATGATGTTGCAAAATCCACAAAATCTGCATTCGCCCAAAGTGTTTTGCCGAAATTTTTCCAAAGTGCACCATCCTTTGGGGTTATTCACCAAACGAAAGGATCTAATTCCACAGAGGTAAATCAGTAAAAAATGTCATATACAATATGATGATAATTATCATGTTTGTGGGATTATTATAAAAGACGCTTTTCCGATAAAAAAGATGATAATTAACAATTATTCGCCTCAGGTTCGGTGAATATCGTCGAATAATCCCCGAGACGAAGGGGGGGATTATTCGACAATATTCACCGAACCTGAGGCGAATATTTGTTAAATATAGTGCAGTCTTTTGAAATTATTTCGTTTTGGCTGAAGCCTGATGAGAGAATTCATGCCAGATTTTAATTAAATCAATCTTCAGTAAAAACTGACCGAAACTGACCGTAGGTTATTAACTTTGACCATGATAAGCTAACTTATTCAGTGTTTCAAGAAAAAAAAACTACGTGAAATATTCCTTCACTGAAAAAGCAGATATATCTTAGAGTTTTGTTTAACCCCTTAGGCATCAGAGCATTTTAAGAGTGGTATGCAGCAATCTATCTCAAGTGAAGTGGAATCCCTATTTTCAGGGGAATCCTTTCAGGTCGCGTGTTTCTCAGTACTTAAGGAGATGGCAGTCAGCTGTGACCTAAGAGCTCTGGAGGAGGTAATACCATTCCAATTATTCATTAGAACAATTGTTGTCGCGTCAGATTGAAGTATCATTGAGTAGAATTCTAGAGGGCCTTAAAGAATCAAGCAAATTTTTGGAAAATGAATTATTTTCAACTATAGCCGAGTGTTTGCCCAATAATCGCATGATTTACATGTATATTTTTCTTTAACAGAAAACGCTTACAGAGTTGAGGACGTTTCGTGAACAGTGGAGAAAAGATGATCCTTCACTGCCTTATTTAGACGACGATATTTTAGACAAAATGAAGAATTTCATTGCAGAATGCGTGCAAATCTCTTGGAGAATGGTAAACCAGCTTCCACCATTAAAGATTGAGCTGGCAAATAAAGTGCGTAGCCAAAGATTTGAGGAGTTCTTTGAAAAAGAAGAAGAAGAAATTACAGAGGAAGTGCCAACCATGACTATTTGTGTCTGGCCAGCTCTCACTAACTCCAAAGGTGACGAGGTGCTTGCCAAAGGGAAGGCGGCTATAATTCCAAGACCCCAAGCACAAACGTCCGTTTGAACTCATGGTAGGATACGCCGGATAGTCAATAACCTCTTTTCTACGAACACTCCTTTAAAAAGAGCGAAACATCTCTCAGCACTACATTCCAGCATTCCTTGTTCTCTTTCTTTCTGTTTTTTTTTCTCTCTTTTGTTTTTTGCCTACCAATTAGTTATAGCATATTTGCTAATGGCCGAGGTTTAAATGATCTCACGGACTTTCAGAGCAGCTTACCTAGATAACTTCAAAGGGCACGCAATAATCTATTTAAATTTTATTCAATGCAATAACTAACTTTTTATGTAGGCGTTTCGGCAAGGCGAGCTCAGCTAGAAACTGAAATGTCTTCAATGAGCTGTTGTTAGTATCATGTTGTCATGTATAGACCCAATTTATATCGTGTTATAATCCTGAGTTTATGGAAATTAGTTCTCCTGACTTTCATCTACGATCTAAACATCCGTTGAGTTGCGCTTTCAACTCAGCCAAAACCTTTATAGGCTAGAGCTAACCACGGCACGGTAAAAAACCTATTATTCTGACGCAATAAGTGCAATTAAAACGAAGAGTCATAAAGAAATATATGACTCTCTAAGTGTGCAAGTCTCTCAGTTAGAAGAACACCTCATTTCTTCTAACTTAGGCAGGTCTAAGTCAGACCAGCAATACGTGGTCGAAATGTCGCGGACCAACGTCACAAGTAACCAAATTGTTAGAAAAACATTTTCGACTTTATTCCTATCAAAAAGGCTCGTTAAAAATTGTAACATGGATTACAATAGAGGTCAGCACGAAGTAAACCATACCATGTTGTATTCTTACTATATTAAAAAAAAGTATATTCAATTGTTTATGTACAATCTAGGCGATAGAAAGAAGCAAGAATCTCATTGAGATTCTCATAGCCAGTTCTTAATCAGTCAAGTTCTAAGATTTGAACAACTCGGTAAAAGAAAGCATAACTTCCTCTTCTAGCTAAATGCATGTTCTCTCGTGCTTAAGAAAGCGTCAGTAAACTGTATATCAACAGCACTAGAAGAAAATTGTCACTTCCAATTCCAATGTAATACTAGTGATGCAACTTTCAAGTCAGAATGTATTTTTTTCGTCATAAAATTTTAAGATTAATCCGTGAAAATGATTAAAGCCATTTATGTTGCATCAGACTGAACTCACTGATGTGATCAATATAGCATAGCTTTTCTTTTAATTTCTTTTTTCTTTTTTCTAGTGCCTTTGGTATATTTTTATTATATTATTCTCAAGAACAACCTGTAGGACCATTATTGATGTATTATGAGTATGCGTACAGTCGTACGATAGCCTGGAAAGACGGCATGAATGCGCCCAGTACCACTTAGACTTGACTAGATAGACATGTTCCTTCAGAAAGTGACTTCTGCTCTTAAACCGAGCTTCTCAGGCAGATAAGTCAATTTCTAAATTTCAGTCCTGATGATGCCGTTGATCGGCGAAAGCTTGGATTTTAAATTTTACTTTTTAGACAGCAGTTTAAGGCCTCATTGGAACAGTTTGTATCACGGTTTTTAATTATGCTGTTTTTAATTATGCTGCTGAAGGACAGCATGAACAGATTATTCAGCCATTAGCTTTCAAGAACATCTTTAAAAACTGAGGAACATTGATGAAAGGCCAGTTCAATTGATAAGTCTTGTCGTGGAGTTCTGACCAATAGAGGGCTCCCATAGAAAACTAATATCAAAGTCAGACTCTTCCTTGTTCAGTTTTTCATTGCAAGGTCGTTGCCTCTAACTGACAACGGTCCATGCAGAAAGGAATGCTTTATGTGTACCGAAGATTATTACATGCCCTTAGAGCTAAACTTGTTTTCACTTGGCATTGTTGGCTAAGGGATTTGAAGGCAGTCCATGCAAAACTTAAGATGGTGTTTACAGCTCCCTTAAAAGAAATACAACCGTTTCAAATGTTATAAAAATCCATTAGGAATGAAGTTTAAAGGCTACCAAGTTCCTGATCTAAAATGATTTGAAATTTATATTGTTTCATTATATCAAAATAATCTAATTTCAAATTTACTGGTTCCCTTCGGACGTTACCCGCTTCTTCCGAACTCTAATATTATTATCCAGACCTGGAACGTCATGAAATTTAAGTGTGGGTCCTAGAAAGTGTTAGGAAAAGAATGAATGTGATATTTTTAGAACAACAAAGAGAAAACGCTGTCTCTGTTTTCACATTGTACCGGAAATAAATTGTCAATCGCAGGTCATAGAAAACATCAAAAAGGGTTTCAGAATAGTTGAACGAATATTGTGGAGCAATCAGAATGGAAAAATGAAAAATTAAGAGTGATTAAACTGTTTTCAAACCCGTCCATAACACATAAAGGAGCTTCATTCAGATACACTAGGTTACCCATCATGCTCTTACCAAGCGTAGGAATGTCACCTAGAAACAAGTCGCAAAACTCAGACCCTTCCAGTCACAATTAGGGTCTGGAAAAACCGGCTGCCATTTTGAAAAACTGACCGAGAAACACCTGGGGACGAGTTTGTCAAGGTCCGCCTGAGGGTGTCACATTTTGCTGTTATTGATAGATTTCATGATCAGACTCCCAAGGAAGCCACTTGAGAAAGAAGAATGGAGCGACACGACCCATAACCAGTGTATAATTAATAGTCATTGTCAGTTACACTTATTGGGCGCCTACAAGAGGAAAGAATGGTCCCATTAAGATTTTCTCTTGGCGCCCACACATGACAGAAACGTCTGAACTCTCCAGCAAGTCAAGCTTCGGAAAAAAAAAAACAACACTAACAACAACAAAACAGAACAAAACGACCGCCAAGATTTTCTGTTTGTTCAACTAATATCATTGTTTCTCTAACAACCAATAGCTTTAACTGAGTAGTCAATGATTTTCTTATAACCGTTAAACTTCCAAGATCTGATTATTAATTCTCCCCTCAAGCTGCTACACATTTCATTGAAAACTAGTTATGGGAATTTGGTGTTAACAACTTCTGCCTGATTAGTTAAATTATTCTCACTACCTATTTGTTGGATAATGTTGGGACGTTATAGGGAGAAGTTACATGTTAATCCTCCATGGGAGTTGAGGGTTGATGGGTAATGATACCTATATATCTCTCAGTTCTGCTCGTATCCGAGTAAGAAATATATCTTATTAACCAAGCACGAGGGCCGCACTGGGAGAATATCGGCTCGAGGTCTTGACAGTACGGACCGAGCGCAGCGAGGTCCGTACAAAAAAGACCGAGGGCCGATATTCTTCCGGTACG